CGAAATCGGAACAACTACAAGCATTAGCTTAAAATTAAAATTATAATATTTGCAAATAGTGTATGTTCTTTTTCACATTTATTCTAATTCTCATATATAAGTATATATGATTACGCTTTGGTTCTGATTTTGAACTGCTAGTTCATGGTTTCGGATCCAGTTTGAACCGTTGGTTCAATCTTTTTTTTTTAAATTTTTTTTTTTATTTTTAAAATCGTCTAAAATTAACAATTAATTAATTAATTTATTTTTCAGTTTGGAACTGGAACCGACTGTTCCGGTTCACAATTTAAATAAACTAAAATCCAAATATCGAGTTTCCGTTCTAGATTGTGACGGGAACATTTCAATTTGGTTGCTATAGTGCCTGTTCGATTTAAATCAAATCGTGGTCATAATTTGTTGGAAAAGAAAAACAAATGAAATATTTATTTTAAGGGTAAAAATGTCCATGTAACATATCGGGGGGGGGGGGGGGGGGGGGGGGGGGATTACCACTTTTAGAATAGTTGAGGAGGCTAATGTGGATACATGAATAATTAAGGGAGAAAAAATGCTATAAGTATATAATCATGGGGAAAGTATCATTTCCCCTACTTATTATTGTGTTTAACTAATTACAAATGCATTGATGTATGTTTAAACTATCCAAATTATGTTAGTCTACCGTTATTAACTTTTTAATAGAGTTAATTCCACCAGAGGTCCCTTGTATTTGGTGGCGATTTCAAATTTAGTCCAAGACTATCGTTTTTGTCATTTAACATCCCAGACTATTATTTTTTGGACACTTTTAGTTCTTCTCATGACTTTTCCTATATTTAGTAAGGCCATTTTTGTCTTTTCATATTTTTCTTTTGTTATTTTTTCAATTTCAACCGGTTTAATTGGTTTAGAACTTTAGGTAACCTCTAATTTTCAGTAACCATATTTTTCAATCGGTTTTTAGTAAAGTCCTAAACCAGTTAAACCGATTGAAATAAGAAAAATGACAAAAGAAAAATATGAAGAAACAAAAATACCCTTACTAAAAATAGTAAAACTCATGAGAATGATTAAAAGTGTCCAAAAAATAATAGTCTGAGGTGTTAAATAACAAAACCGATAGTCTGGGACTAAATTTGAAATTGACACCAAAGACAAAGGACCTCTGGTGAAATTAACTCTTTTTTAATATTAATTTTAGTTAAATTTAAAATTTTAAAAATTTGATGGGACCCGCCATATCCTGTAGAGATAAGGCGGGGCAGGACGGCCTTTGTTAAGCCCACCAGCTCGCTTTGACGGTTTAATCTTTAGGAGTGTCCAACTAGAGTTCGTGGTTCACTCTGTATGGATACCTCTTGAAAAAAGGATTGATCCCACATTTAGAGAAATAATGATATTTATATTACAATTTTTTTTTTTGTTATTTCTATTTCATTATTAGTGCAATAGCTTGTATTATTTATTATTCGAGCCGCCATTTTGGGCCCTATTCCATTCCTCAGGACTATAGTATTTATTATTCTTTGGGCCGCCGTTTTGGGCCAATATCTCGGGCTTTGTACATACTATTTTGCGCCTAGCGCCTCGGGTAATAAAGTTACTATTTTCATACCCCCCGTTTTGTACTTCTATACCGGGTTTATGGTGGACCCGATTTGTCGTTAAAGTGACCCTACCATCGGTGTGACCAATCAGGGTCCCTCGGCGGTCGGACCTAATGTCTAAACTTTAGCCCATGAGAGTGCCAACGTCATCGGCAACTAGGCTGCCCAACAGCATTGGGGGGGGGGGGGTGCATCCTGGCCCGTCTAGCAGCCGACTGTTGACCCGAACACTCAAGCAAACCCTCCTCCTACCCAGCTCAACACTTCAACTGATTTCACTTACCTGACTACGGTGAAGCAGAAGGTAGATGAAACTTTAACTGATTTTCTCACACGTTGGCAAACCGGTATAGCTGAGGTAGACAAGATAGACGACAAGTCTGCCATTATCATGTTCATTGAGGCTTTAAGGGCCAGGGATCTATACAAAAGCCTTAAGCGCAAGACCCCAAACACCTACGTTGCCTTAATGGCCAAGACAAACCATTACGCCGAAGCCATAGAAGCGAACCGGATTAAAAGTGGAAAAGAAGATGGGCCTTTTAAAAGATCCCGGATAGAAGAAACTCGTGATTCAAATAAGAAGGTGTTGGAATGAACTACAGAAGGGCATTTGGAGCATAATCTTTTTCTAAAGATGAAATCTTTATGATTTTTTGGTGTGTTCTTGAAGTGGGTGTTGAAGGTGAACCTTGTTAGGAGCTCAAAAAGGTGTTTTGGGTGAAAGTTTTGTCTACAAGAGGTAACCTATGCTTTAACTTGTGATTTTGCTATGAAATGTGAGAGTTGATGTATTGTCTTGTGAAAATGCATATTTAGAGCTTGTTATTAGAGGTCTTGTATGCCATTGCTTGGCTATTCCTTTGATTCAAGTCATATTGTTGTATTTGGTGAGATTTTGGATGTTTTGGACTTGAATTTGAGCTTGGTGATGAAAATCCCCGAAGGGATATTTTGGTACAAGGTTGTGTACCCGCGGGCGGAACGGTGGGTAGGGGTCTACCCGCAGCCCCTCCCGCGGGGTACGTTGGTTGTGGGATATGGTTCCCGCGGGTGGAACCACAGGTGGGGGTCCACCCGTGGCCCCACCCGCGGGGTACGTATATAGTGGTGTTTGGGGATTTGTTCTCCGTGATTCTTTTGACTCGGTATTTGATGTTTTGACTTCCCGATGTTCTTTTGTTAGGCTTTTGAGTGTCTTCTTGATGTTTCGTATGTCTAGAACTATATGGTAGGATTCCATGTAGGTTTTGGTGTCTTGAATCGTGCTAAGTGTTCAACCTTGTGATTCGTTGAACCATGATGAGTCTTGTGTGTTCTTTGGAACTATGTTAGGTTTACCCGTTTGATAAGCATGCTAGTTCGGTGTTGAAATGCTAGCATGTGTTGTTTGTCCTTTCCTATTGTGGATGATAACTTGTGTTGATCATCGTTGTTGTCAGATTGTAATCCTTTCCTTGTTGAGTATGGTTTCATATCTTCGTTGTGATCCGTTGATTGATTCCAATGATGGTGTTGTGTGTGTGGCTGTACCTGGATTGCACGATTAATGGAATGGAACATTAGTCACCAAGGTACGGTAGTGGTCCTCGTGGTGGCCATGACGGGATTATTGATTTTGTGACCTGTGTGTAAGGTTCACGTATTTCTTGGGAGGCATGTGTCGCCAAAGTGTGTGATCGGTACCCTCGTGTACTATGAATTCGGTGGTATTGTTGGAGATTGTCGGAGTGGGGACGACGGTCCTCAGAGGAATATGGTTGGACTTGGAGTACAGGGGTCCTGGAGGTAAAGGTTGGAACTAGCTATAAGGTTGGGGGTAGCCATAAGGTTGGAACCGAGCATAAGGAAGGATTATTGTATTCGTGATGAGTGATGTCACGAAGGCATGTGTGCCGATGTGTGTTTCTCTATTTGTGATGTGTGATGTCACGAAGGCATGTGTTGCTAATGTGTGTCTCTTTATTCTCATTTGTTGAGCATGTCGGGTGATATTCTACTGAGTGATGGTAGAATACACCTTGAGACTTTCTTGTGTTGTGTTGTGTTGTCACTTCTTGACGTGTCTTGGGATGTGTTCCCTTATCCTTATTGTGAGAGACATAGAGTCTTTGTGGTTGACTTCTATCTTTGGCTTTGAACTTATATATACAGTATTCCGTTTCGAAATGATTTAGCAATAAACTATCTATCTATATGTGCTATTGACGCGTATTGATGGGTTACCAGCATTATTCGCTGACTGGGTGTCGTCCCATTTATTCATGTGCTTTTCAGGTCCCGAGTAGTGGCGAGCGCGATATAGAGATGGCTAGTGCAGTTTCCCTCAGACTCTGTTTAGTTTTGTTATGGGCCTGTGTGCCTCTTGTGATAAACAATAGATTGTTGTTGGTTTGACCTTGTCTTATGTTAGACTTCTAGACTGTGATGTGATGATGTTCTTGCCTGTGCGTTCACTATAGTGTGGACGTGGCATAACACTCTTCGTTTTCCAGTTTTATATAGTTAGACTTCCGCTGTGTTTGCTTATATTGTGGTTAGATTATCTTGCATATCTAAGTATAAAATGGCATGGAAATCGGGGGTGTTACAGTTGGTATAAGAGCCTAGGTTTGAGCCTAGGATGATAGAGTCTAGACTTCTAAGTGGTTAAGTTTGGTTTGAGACTCTAAGACGACCGTAAGAATCTAAGTGTTTAGGACTTAGGATTCTTAGGACGCGCGGTGAGCTGTGTGTTGTTTACAGTTGTTTGCTTGCTTGGTGTTTTGTTTGTAACAGTTTTGTTGTTCTAGAAGCTTTGCGATGCCTCCCCGTCAGCGTGCACGTACACCGGAGACACCGACGAACGAACAGCTTGCCCAGAATCTGCAGCAGCTCACACAGGCTATGCTAACCCTCAGCGAGGTGTTGTTGCACAACAACCATCCCGTTCCACCTCCTCAGCCTGCCGGGCATAGGTATATAGGGTGCCTTGTGTCGGGCCATAGACACCCGACGTTCGCGGGCGAGGAAGACCCCGTTGTTCTTGAAGAGTGGGTAAGGACGTTTGACAAGATCTTTTCCGTTGTTGGATGCCCGGAGGAGCGGCGAGTGGAGCTTGCAACGTTCTACTTCAGCTACGAGGCCGACTTGTGGTGGATACATGAGGGCCCAGCTTGTCTCGAGGAGCCTGACTTTGATTGGACTGCCTTGAAGGATCGGATGCGTGAGAGGTTCTATCCGGCACATGTTCGAGCCGCGATGTACAAGGAGTTCCTGCACCTTCAACAAGGTTCCTCATCGGTGGTTGAGTACCACAAGAAGTTTCTAGAGCTCGCTAACTTCGCCAGGATGCTTGTCCCTACCTAGCTCGCCAAAGTTGAGAAGTTCGTAGCCGGTTTGAACTACGAGGCATGAAAGGCTTTAACAATGAGTAGGCCGAGTTCTTTGAAGGAAGCATACTTGAGTGCCGCGGACTTGTATCGGGTGCAGCAGCTGCAACGTGGATCTTATGAGATTGCAAGGAAGAGGACCGAGAGTGAAGGATTTTCCAACTTCAAGAGGCCGCGACAGAACTTCCAAGCCAAGAATGCACCTCCTCCAACTCAAGGACCAACACGAGCGGAGCCCGGGAGTCAAGTCAAGATGTTCACTTGCCGAAAGTGTGGGAAGGAACATACAGGCAAGGATTGCAACAGCTTTGCGTTCCGATGTTTCTGTTGTGGAGAGCGAGGACATAAGGCCGCTGCATGCCCTCAGCAAGCTAGTCAAAGGGCGTTGGCACCATCTACGGGACCTAGAGGAGCAGCAGAATGGAGCTCGAGTCGTGGAGCAGCCGGAGCCAGACCATCGGCTAGAGTTTTTGTGATGGGGTGATCTCAGGCGGAGACGGAGGGTTTAGTTGAGGAGGATATAGCAGGTAATCCTTTTTCTAGCCTACTCTTGCCTTTAGAACACATCTTATTCCTTGTTACTTTTGTGTGTTGCCTTGTTTCCTCTGTTGTCTTTTGGTGTTGCCTTGTCTTCTTTGTTGCTTGATTCTTTTAGTCCTAAGTGTAAGCCTTTCGTAGAGTTAATTGTTTATTTCTAAAATGAGTCATGCTTGAGTTAATTCCGTAACCTTGCACATGTATTTTTTAACCCAATCATCCTTGTGGTTCACCTAAATTTATCTAAATGCCCTTGCGAACCCATAGTAGAAAAACCCATAGAACTCCTTGTGTAGCCAAAAAAAAAAAAAAAAAGACTAAGTAAATTTTATTTTGTAAACCTTAAGTTTCACACCCAAGTGTACCATTTACCAACCTAACCCTTGAACCACTTAAGCTAATTATGTTTCTTGAACCTTACCCAATTTTAATTCTATCTAACCCATAAATTCTCACTTTACCCAAAATTCCCAAATTAAATCATCTTCTTTTCCTCAATTTTTCCCCAAATCCCAAAACCCTTATTTTCCCCCTTTTTCCCCCTCTACCCGTGAGCTTCAGCTGAGACCACCACCCGTCGCCTTCACCGCCCGTCGCACCTGCCCCGTCGTCGCCGACCAGCCGTCGCCGTCGCCACCTGCCGGAGTTCCCCGCCGAGCAGCCGTGTCCGCTGGAAATCGAGAAAAGCAGCGAGAGAGAGAGAGAGAGAGAGAGAGAGAGAGAGAGAGAGAGAGAGTCGGCGAGAGAGAAGAAGAAGATGAGAGAAAAGTCTTGGGCCCTTTTGTTGAGCTTTGGGTCACCTTTCAATCATGCCTAGGAGATCAAGTTTGGCAAGGAAGGTGGAATGGGTGGATGCCCATTATCTCGTTTTAGAAGGTAAAGCTTTCGACCCGGAATCTTTCCCAAGTTCTTTGTTAGATATGCTAAGATATCAATGCTTGTTAGATGGGTTTCTCGCCATAAGGGTCGAGACATACCCAAGCTTGGTTAAGGAGTTTTATCGTCACATGGTTGTGACAAAAGATGGAGGAAAGCTTGAAATCACCTCTAAGGTGAGGGGTGTGAAAGTGGTTCTGTCTGAAAAGAGGCTAGCTCAGCTCTTAAGTTTAACCGCTACGAGAGTTTCTCTGTACAGTGGTAACTCTTGGATTAGTACGGATACCATGGGGTACCAGGACTATTTGAGTTATCTGTTGGGCGGGACGAGTGGTTTCACTCAAGCCTCCAAACCGGAGAAGAAATGGTTGTCGGCCGAGCAAAGAATCTTGGTGATGCTTGTATCGGATTGTCTGTTGCCCAATAACAACAAAAGTCGGTTGTTGGGGAAGCTAGAGTGTACCTTTGCTTTTTGTCTGAAGAACATGGTAAAGTTTAATCTGTCTGCCTTGATGTTGCAACACATGGTTTTCTGTCGAGACCACAACCGGAAGAGCCTACCTTATGGGATGGTTTTGAGTTGGATTTTTGTCAGGAAGGGTGTGAGTGTGGAAGGTTGTGTACCGAAGGCCGTAGGAAAAATGGTATTGGATGCCATCAATCTGCGGAGTTGCAACTTGTTCCAGTTGGACGACGGTGAGTATATCACTCTTGAGGAAGTTGCTAGGAAAACCTCCGAGGAGAGAGATGAGTTGGTTGCAGAGCTCGAGATCCCTGTCGGGAAGTTGAACCTCGCGGTTCAGAGCCTAGGAAGTGATGTGGTCGATTCATTTGCCACCTAGACATGAAAATGCTCTTGTCTGTTAATGTTGATACGGATGTTTGATGTTTAATTAATTCGTATTTTATACGAATCTAATAGTCATGAAAGCTAAGAAACAATTAAAAAAGAGATATAAAAAGAGAGAAAAAGCCATACTATTGTCAACTTCTCATTATGTGATGTAGGATAGTTTTGGCGATTGTGTGCTTCTTGTACGTGTCGTGTAGTGTATGACTTTTGTGATGTACTGAACAAATGTTTGTTATAAATAAGGTGTCCTTTTTATATGCATGTCTGGAGATTTTTTGCTTAATTTAATAATTTCATTTGAAGTTTGACTTTAATTAATAATGCCATATTTTATTATTTTTAAAATTAGTTAATAAATTAAAGATAAAACTTAACATAATTACATAAAATCATTAAATACTCTTTGGTATCAATGACATTGGCATCATTATTTGTGTTTATATTTTTACTGATTCGAGATAACGTTATCACGTTAATTCTTTTAAAATTGTTCATTTTATTAGAAAGGAAAAGAAAAAAAAAAAAAACAAAAAATACAGCCGTGGCCACCTGCCCACCACTCGCTGTTATTCATTCTTTCTTCCAAAAGGTAGAACTCCCCTCACTTTGAGAGGGTTGCTCCCACACTGTCGCTGGTGAAACTCGATCCCTAATTATTCTTCCAAAGTTTCACCTCTGTGACCAGTTGAGCTGCCCATGTGGGTCACTCCACGTTATTCATGAATAGTGACATATATGTCTTTTAATTTAATATATACTCATAGACAACGTCTTAATTGCACAATTTATTTTGTGTAATTAAGAGTAGGGGTCAGTGGACCCCACTGATTTTATTTTAAAATTTAAGTGGTTTTGATAGTTTTTTAAGGAAATAATACTTTTTGCCCCTAAACTATGTTTAATTTATAATTTTTTTTTTGAATTATTCATATATCAACATTAGTCCTCAATTATTTTAAAAGTAGTAATTTCCCCTCTTTATATGTTAAATAGATATTTTTACCTATAAAATAAATATTTCATTTATTTTTCTTCTCCAGCAAATTATTACTTATATGTAGAAATGAATACGGTTGGGTTCAAATCGAACTGAACACTATAACAACCAAAACGAACGATTTCGGTTACGATTCAAAATCGAGTGCTGTTCACGATTTTAATAAACTGAAACCCAAATATTGGATTCTGATTCTGAATCATAACATGAACTTTTCGGTCGGTTGCTAGAGTGTCCGGTTCGGTTCGAACTAAACTTTGGTCATCACTACGTATAACTATATAAGCATTAATTTGTTGAAAAAGAAAAATAAATGAAATATTTATTGTAAAGGTAAAAATATTCATTTAACATATTAGGAGAAAACTGACACTTTTACAATAATTAAGGAGGTTAATATAAATACATGAATAATTCAAGAGAGAAAAGTGTCAAAAGCATATAACTTATGGCCTTAGGGGGAAAGTGTCTTCTCAAAAACATTCACAAATCTTGAACAGTATAGAGGCCGGCAATGAAATGCAAACCGTGGTTAACTTTTGTTTTCTGATTTTCAAACTCTTGTTTATATATGTTTCTCTACTTTTGTCTGTTTTTCATTGATTTGTTTTGGATTTTCTTTTATGATGTGTATGTATTTTTGGATATTTCGTTGGTAAAATCCAATAATAATCCTACAAAATAAGGATTATTATTTACAGAAAATTGGGAAGGAAAGGGTGAAGAGATACGGTTCGGGTTGGTGTAGGTGGTTAGCACAAGTCGAGCGAATCACTATTTTCTTAAAACCTTATTTGCTACCTCCCACAAGTGCTAGGAGCGTTGTAGCCTAGGTTTTCCAGGATAAAATGTGCTACGATTCAATGTTTGAGCACCTAAATAAAGAACCCGGCGAACTAGAGCAACGGGATGAACACAATTAGGCCAAGAAAGGAGTAGAAGCAGAGAGTTTTGAAGCTGAAAATAATATGATTTTCTTGTTGTTGTCAAATTCTGCGGGCCACTTTTTGTAACCCTTGAAACAATATGGCCATTATCTATGACTTAAATTCCAATATTAAAAGTAATAGAGAAATTAATCCCGTAACTGTTGAATTTGACATTCTAGGCCTAAATCAAGCCTTTTTAGTCTCATTTTGGGATTTGAGAAAAAACCTCTATTTTACACACTTCAATAAGCTTTAAAAGAGCTCTTGTATAAATAGTAATGCAAATCCTCTTCCCAAACCAATGTGGGACAAAAGCTACTCCCAAGCTTTTTCCCTTCATTTTTCTAATTCAATAATGGATCTTGTTTGAGAATCAATATCTCATTTACCCATTATCCGTTTTGAGCGTACAATATATCAATCTCTTCATCTCACTACGAAGAACCCGAATCCACTTTGACCCAACCCAAATTGGAAGTGAACCCCACATATAATTGTACCACAAAATAGCCACTTAATATGTCATTTTAAGCTATTTTTTCCAACATGTATATTGTATATACTAGTTTTTTACACGCATTGCGTGATTGGGATAATGCCCAATGTTTTTCTTAAATAAGTATTTTAAAGTATATCAAGGCAAGATTATATTAGAATTGTTCATGCGTAGATAATTGAATGTTGAATTTGCGTATTTAAATTGGTAATTCTAAGTTTACAAATGCAAGATAATATAGTCAAGATTGATTATAATTGTCAATAAAATAATTGTATGGGTATGGTTGAAACCAACTATGGGACATAAGGGAGAGCAAATTAAAATTAAAGCATAAAATATTAAATATATACTAATATTGTTTGAGGAGATTCCGACAGTAGGATTTGTGGTTAGAGTTCTATTAAGACTTTAATATTAGAATTAGATTAATGTTGTAGTTATAATTCTATATAAGACTTTAATATTAGAATTAGACTAACGGTGAATTAACGGCACTTAATGGAAAAGTTAACGGATCGGATAATCATATAATTAAGGAGAAATTAGGAAATCTCGAGGAAAAAAATTAAAATCTGAACGATCTGAACTATTCATTTGATTTAATAATTTGACGGTCATTTTTTCTACCCAATGTTTATAACTAAATAAATATTTGAAAGTATATAAATGCAAGATTATATATGAGAAGTTCAACATAAGTAATTTAATGTCTAATTTGTTTATTTAAATATGTAATTCATAGTATATAAATACAATGTAATATAGGAGATTCATTATAATTGTTACTAAACTT